GCAAACGGCTCAGGCTCCACCAGCCTACAGGGCATTCGAAAATCAAATAGGACAAACATGCCCGGCGTACTCGACCAGAAATCAACAAATTTGTGGAACACGGATGGTGATAACTACGAAGACCACTCGATTTTTTCACCCTATTGAAAACTTTCACGTAACACTCCGTGGCGCGCACACGAAAATGTCATGCCTGGTCGAGGCGACCACCCGTGGTAGCCCATTTGCCGTGGGCAGTGACGTTCGCTCGCTCGCTTCTGTGGCAGCTCTATTATTTTGGAGCGTCGTGAGTCGAGGATGGGTCATATGTCTTCCTTTGGCCGGCGAAATCAACCGACACTCCGGCAAACCAGTCTGCCTCCGTTCATCCAGCGAAACGAAGCAAAGTTTCACAAGGCTTGCGGTGTTCAAATCCCGCCGCCGCCTTATCAGTAATAGGAGAACAAGATTGGACTCCACCTGAAATGGAGAACAAGGCCAACCCTTCCATCTTCCAAGTTAGGAGAATGCATGGCTACTCACTAGTAAAGTTCATTTTCACGCGGAGCAAGCCTTAGCCACACAAGATAAACATCAAACGGAGCGTACAGCGTTGAGTGAGGAGGTGCAGAACATCCATCGAGACTATCCCACATGGGACAGGTTTGATAGCCATTCCAATTCCTTTTGTAAAGCTTGGAAGCCTCCAAAACAGTTATTACAGAAACTCTCTGAAACACAGCTGTGAAATGCACGCTTAATGTGGACAGTTGTTCTCGGAACACAGACCAGCAGCCGCTGCGTTCCACTGAGCACACTCACAATATGGTGATCTGAGACTCGATGTGCTCAGGTGGAACGATCCTGGCCAGGCCTGTGCAGTTTATGGTGACGTCACGACACTGGCAGCGCGCGTCCTCCGAGCACTGGAACGCTGTCGGCAAACCACTGCGCGTCATATCGCGTACATCACAGCGGTGGGAGTGCAGAGATCGACTGGCTGCCTCACAGGCGACGGTGGAGCTGGCATTAACCTCTAAAGCCTAGAGATGGCGAATGACGCAATGGAAAACACCCAATGCAAAAAAAATCGGAGGCACCAGAAAGTCTGCCGCTGATGGGAGTTACCGCTGTCTTTGAGTGTTCGGCCAAACCAAGTTGTTATTTACAACTTGTTTGTTGTGTGGGGGCATTAGAGCTGAAATGGTTTACCGAGTGCGGACTGACATGCCGCATGAGGAATGGAATCATTGCTTGTAATATGTACTCGTCTGGTGTGTTAGTATCTTGCACTAGGTGCTGTCACAGTATGGTGTAAAGTCTTGTTAAATAATCTGTAGATACCATCACGTAACATCAAGACAAGTGTCTCGACAGCTAATCCATCTGTGACACCGTCTCTCAATCATTTCAATCAATCAATTCTCTCAATCAGTCAATCGTAATGCTGCAACGATGCACGGATTCATGACTTTTTGCGAGTGCTGTTCAACAATGTCCAAACAAACAGGGCAATCAATCGATAGGTGTCCCATGCATTTTGACCAGCATATGATCACAAATAGCTACGGAAAGAAAGCAAAAGGAATGCATATATTTTTGCATGCCCCATACCATACATCCGAACTCCGTACTGTTATTGACGCGTTTGCATGCATATTAAATGGATTCTAGACAATGGCGGCTTCCTTTATTAACCAGTGAGCGCAATAAACAGAACAAAATGGGTAAAACAAAACGGACGGAACTGAATACAACCGGAACAAAACGCGTAACAGTAATGTACGACAGCTTCACGTATTTGCAATGAATAAAGCAATGCGAAGATTCGTCATACCGCTTGGCAGCCGGGGACCACATACGCTTCATATCACAGCAGGGTCACACACCACCGCAACCGGCACCGGGAACGCCGCAAGCAGCGTGCCGAAGGACTAACGGCACTCACTGCAAGGGTCCTCGTCGGTCTCAGCTCTCCGCCACAATCATCCTGTTGTTGCAGACAAGGCTCATGTTCAGGCTAGGGCCGTTTTGTGCACTTGAACTCTGTGCTCGGACACTTCCAGCGGTCTGAAAACGCAACACATTGTCGTCTTGAATTTGATTTGCTTCACTCTTTGCTGCTTTCTACGCTTTTGCGTTCGTCCCCGCGTAATTGTGAGGGTATAATTGGGACAAGCGATAGTGACTCGAACGGAACAGCGGTTCAGTAAATTGCATGTGCATTGTATGTTGGTCTTTAAAGAGCAGTTTCTAACGTTGCTAAGATAGCTTCCAGCAACGTGAGCATTGTTCTATACGCATATTCAGTGCATGCCTCTAATTCCATCTGACTTCTACTCGAGCACTGACCTCACATACAAGAGCAAGCATGAGAAGTGAGGTCGTGTGAGGTCTACCAGCCCTAGTAGATGTTAGATAGCGAGCAGGATTCATGGATAAAGGTGACCCTCGCCATTATTCGCCCTTCGTCACAGCGGACGGATAAGGGCGGCGATTGTGATCGGCGGACTCGTCTGTTGGCGTCCGGTGCTCGCGCCGGCCATGAAGTGCCGAGCGGCGTTCCGAAAACCGTCGATACTGGGAAACCAGATGGGCCAGAAACACGTATTTGGTGTAAAAACACGTGCATGAGATTTGGTATAAAGCTGCTCAAAATCTTTACGTAAAACACACGCAATGAGTTCCCTACGGACTAAGTCAAATTTGAGAACATAAAGCAACATTACGGGAGGCATCACCCACACTTCCCAGCGGAGCGAAGGCTAAGAGCGGACTCGAATTCCCCTATGAATTTTTACTTCCGCGCAGAGGCACGCGAAAACGTACGCAAACACACAAAGCCATACTTGCAAGCACACAACCATAAGCTAGATAAATGAGAGCATCAATTCAGTTGCAGATCTAATCACGTTATGTAACGATGCAATCATTTCTTCTACTTTTCTGGTATGCGCTATTGTTGAAGTGTCTATGATATCTGAAGATGCTCGCAGGCTCAACGAGACGTTACATAAAACTATAGGCACACCCTGAACAATTACGTTAATTTCCAAATAAGCAGGCTTGGACGGATCGAATCATTACATTGCATCATTACATCATCATTACAGCCAAATAACTTCAGATATAGTGCTGTTTTCAACGGTGCACTTTTCCAGAAAAATCTGCTCTCCACCTATTTGCTTATTCATACAAACTAATTTAGCACGCAATAGTTTCCCTTCCTCAAAGCTGGAAATACTCAGGCGCCTTTCCCACATGACTGCTTTGCTTCCTCCCCCCCCCCCCCCCTGCATCACTGAGCCGGCTTTGCGACTCGGGGCGCGCAAGACTCACCGCAGTCGACAAGGTGGGAGCCGTCCCCGCAGCCGCGTCCGGGCAGACCCGACTGGAAACAGCGGTCCCGCAGCGGCACACACTGGCCACTGGCGCATCGGAACTCCCCAACACCGCACTTGGACGGTGCGGCTGAAAGGAGAGACGAAAGTTCGGCCGGCGCCTGGGATCGAACCCACGACGGTCCTGAGCCATCTGTCGGTGTGCTGTTTGGAACCAGCAGAATCGAACTTCACAGTGTCATGTATCGGGTAGTGATCGATATGACTTGAAATATACATATGGAAACGAATAAATGCGTTTACATATAAATATACATATATATATATATATATATATATATATATATATATATATGCATATATATATATATATGTATATATATATATATATATATATATATATATATATATATCATCTCACCAATGGTCTTTTATGCTATTCTTATATAGCCTGCTTTTTATATATATCAATGCAAGGTTTCTTGCTTGCAAAGGCAAACACATCTTGATTAGCCTTTCGCGCGTATGTTCCCATGTTCGGATCAAATCCTTCGTTGTCTTCAGCGAGCCATAGATCATCTCACCAATGGTCTTTTATGCTATTCTTATATAGCCTGCTTTTTATATATATCAATGCAAGGTTTCTTGCTTGCAAAGGCAAACACATCTTGATTAGCCTTTCGCGCGTATGTTCCCATGTTCGGATCAAATCCTTCGTTGTCTTCAGCGAGCCATAGATCATCTCACCAATGGTCTTTTATGCTATTCTTATATAGCCTGCTTTTTATAAAAGAAAAAAATATGAAACATGCCGTACTAGAGTTGGAGGCGGAACATCAGTCTGCGGACCACAGATACGAATTTCGGGTCAAGGCGCAAAAAATCCAGTTTACTTGCCATGCCTTTCCCCTCTGTGATGTGCTCCAGATGCTGATCATGCTGATGTCATGGGGTGACCGCCCGGTCCCGGGACGGTGCATGATCTTAGTTGATTGTTAAGGCCGGACATGCTTTCCCTGGCGAAGATGGCTACCAGGAGTTGTAGACGGTGTTCATTTGAAGACGAGCTCAGGATCCGTGTGCTGTAGTTTCATAAGGTCGCAGGTGTTTTTGGCTGTGGGTTTTGCACATAGGCTGGTCTGGCAGGTGCATGATTTGTACGTTTGAACTCATAACTGCTGATCTCCTGCAGGTGCATGGTCAGAGGTCGTGATAAGTATATAGTTGTCATACCAACATAGGTCGAGCTATCCAGCCCGCAGCTTCTGTTTGATCTCGTGACTCGTACTCAAACTCGTTTAAACTCGCATAGCTGAGCGTTTTAGTTAGTTCTTGGCCGCGGTCGGGTTCCTTTGAAGCTCGTTATTTTGGCGTTTTTGTCCATCTGCATGATCTTTATCTTAAAAATGTTCCGGAGAACTTCATTCTCAACACTGTGTGACAGGGACATTTTAGGTCCATAGAACAGCAAACTCAGTTTCACGACGCATAGTTTCGGATTTTCACGGCTGGGTGCTGCCCCGATCTCCTGGTCAGCGGCGCTCTTGGAGTAGCTGCTATTTACTGGAAGCTGTTTACAACGTACAAGATTGTGGAGAGTCCTTCATTAGTTAGAGCAAAATGACTCTGATCTAGCTGATATCACCGGGATACGGAAATCGTTTTTAAACCAATGTGGTCTGCAAGTCCTGGAAGCCATCCTCATCTGGGAAAGGATGTTCTTGACAAATGATATTTAAAAATACCTTGGCCAATAACAAAGATCATGCATCAAGCTTGAATTGTTGATCATGCATTAACCTGGAATCCCGTGACATCAGGGGAACCAGTGTCTGGAACTCATCACGGAGTGTAAAAGCATGGGAAGTGTACTTTTACCTAGTGTTGTTATGCGCAGTCTGTTAACTGGTGGTGTGCCTTTAATGGTCTCTCGTAGAGCATGTTTCATATTGCGTAATGCTCGAATGTTTTTATATCCCACTGATCTGCGTTGGCTTGAAAATGGGGAACGCATATCTTTGTAACGTTACCTACCTTATATTAAAAAATGTCGATTGGCAAGCTATCTATGGCTTACCAAAGTAACGAAAAATTTGATCCGAACAATCCAGCAAACATGCAAACTCCGATAAAATTTACATTTGTTCTTCCATCTAATAAACCTGAATCACTAAAAGTACTGCCCAATCATAATTAATATGAATAGCCTATGGTGCTATGCAGCCTACCAATGAAAAGAAAGACATATCCGTGACATAGACAGCGAGGGGTCGATCCGGGACCTGATGTGATGGGAAGTCACCCATGAGAACGGAGCAAAGCAACCAAGCATGCATAGCTCAGAGATAACCAGCTCTGCTGTATTCCGACCAACAAGAAACAACATTTGATTTACTATTAACACGCGCCGGCTAGATACCAGGGTGGCCGGCTAAATGCCATTCGCTCGGGTGGGGTGGGTGGGTGGGGGGGGGGGGGGAGGGCAATTTGACCCCTCCCCGCTGAGATCTCGGGAACTAAGAGAGTTAAAGACGCCAAATTCACAAGGTGTGTTGGCCTGTACGTGAACTCACTTTGGTCAAAGTTTGAGGTTCCTTGATCATGGCCTGCGGGTTAAATAAGACAAAATATGGTCAACTTCAAGGCTGGCCTCCAAGTGCCTCCATAAATGTTTCTAAGCAGCGGTTCGCATGTTCAGCTAAGGTCAGTGACCTTGTTTGACCTTTTAAAGGTCATGGTGACCAAAATCGTACAAGACTTCTCTGAGTTTTGCATTTGAATAAGCGGCAAAAGTTACGCTACGCAGCGTGTTTCAAAAAACAAAATGTTGACCTGAGTCATGTTAGGTCAATGACCTATTCTGACCTCTAAGAAGTCCATGGAATGTGTATAATGCGGTTCCTGCTATCCATTAATTCGAAATGAGCACCAAAAACTATCCCATACTGCAAGCCCTAGAGTTAAAAACAGGCTGGTTTTGACCTTGGTCTGACCTTTTTACCTGACCTTAGGTCAACGTAATTTGCTCATTCAATATTGGCGTTGCCTAAGAAAGCGTCTCAGAGATGTATGACTTCGTTTAACACTCCATTGTTGCATCAGATTGAAAGATTCACTAGAAATTGCCTTCGTTGAAACCATGGCGTGATTTTGACCTGCCATAGGTCAGCGACCTTACCAAGTACATGTCTAAATTGGTGATGCCAAACGATCTGCTATTCAAATTTCTACAGCTGTGCAAAATTTGGCGCGGCTGCGCCGTGCCGTTTGGAAATTATTCCGGAAAAAACCTTCGGGGATCAATTTGGCCCCCCACCCGAGAGCGTGTTGACACATTCAGTGATCATGCCCACATCAGCTAATCAAGACATTGCCGCTAAAAGTGGGCATTTTGCTCTGCCTCCCCCCTCCCTTCCTCCCACCAGCTCGCCTCTGCCCCAAACATCCGCGGCGCTGTCACTGAACGAGTCATGTGACCCCACGCACCGCAGGCCGTCTCGTCGCTGTGGTCCCAGCAGTCTGTCACGTGGTTGCACCATTTGTGCGCCGCTAAGCACTGTCCACTGGAGCATCGCCTGAGGTGAGCTGGACAGGCGATCGTCTCTGGGGGAGGACATGTGATTACCACACCATTATTGGATGCGCACTGCGCTGTGAGAGCGAGCGCCTGGTAACGATCGCGCAGTCTGCTTGGCCAGTTGCATGCAACAGGTCGCCCCAGTCAGACCAGAATGACTGTCACAGAGCTGCGCGACTCGCCAAGACAACATAACGACATCTTGTAAAGTGATATTAGCATTGCTGATGGAAAGCCTGGATCTCTTCGCCCCCTCCCCCCTCTCCTTACAGTCTTACAAGCCCATATTAACAAAATCATGCCACGGAGCAGCACAGCACGGCACGTTAAAAAACACTATCGGCTGTTCAAACACCAGAAATTATACATTTTTACCTTAAAACACGCGAAATTAATGCTCAAGAGGCTGTCGGGCATTTTGGCGTGATTGCCGTGATTGCCAACGCGCCAGGGGAATTTTCCCAGAAACCTCAGGAAAGGCTGCCTCGATCGCCCCCTCCTACCCCCCCCCCCCCCTCCTTGTCAGGGCGAAGGTTAGCGCGCGACTGCCTGGAGGCTTAAAGTTTTCCCCTTCGTGCCTGGAGAATAGCTTACGAACTAGGGAAGGCATGTCCATCAAACTTTTAGCACTTCACACATGATCAACTTGACACATTCCGGACCAATGAACAAATTCGATGCATCTTCAGGTCGCTGTCTCATGAACCGGGTAGAATAAGAAGAAGAACATAGAAGGGTAGAACTTTGCACAAGACATACTGGGGCGGGGGGGGGGGGGCAAACATCCATTCGAAAGGAGAGGGCACCACAGTATTTCTCCCCGGGGCTTCTATCCAATGTTCTTAACAATGGGGTAGCCGTGTTTGTAAGGGATGCTCTACCCTTGACAAATTCGAGCTTTTGGACTATTGGACCAAAAGTTTTTTGGCGGGCTTTTGATGACTAGTTTTTAATAACGCGATTTTGCTCGACCAGACTCATCCTCATGAACAGAGTGTGTATCTCGGAGCCATTCAATGTAGGCGGCCCTGTCGCGAGCTGTGGTCGGCGTTACAGGAGCGGGGGCAGGGGTGGGAGCTTGGGACCATTAGGGAGATGTTTTGGGTACAGGACATCAGCTACTTGGAGCTACCACGTTTGCACGGCACTGGCGCGACCACTACCCGGGCGCGTGCCCCAGTGTGCACCTGCGTCACAGGCACTTTACGCCGTTTACGCACTTTCTTTGCCTTCACATGAGTGGCTCTCTGACAAACGCCCTAGGGGTGCTCCTCTGCATCAACCAGCATTTGGTGGGAGGATCAATATGACTCTACGCCAAGGAGTCTAGGAGCACCATCACCGCCGCCCTCCCCTCCCCCCCCCCCCAAAAAGGTGTGTTTGTCAGACGATACGGGTGTAAAATGGCGCATGTCAGACGATACGTTTCATGTGATCCGTGGGCAGCTGGCCATTGACGCGGCGCATAGACGCTTTTTATGAAGACTGAACAGATGGTGATGACGGTTTTTTGGACGCAAACGGCGGGTAAACGCACATTACCAGAGAAAAAATAAAACTGTCGTGCGGAGCCTGAGAGGAACGTGCTTGGAACGCCGTGGCTGCCCTCAGTGCAGCCGGTGTCCTGAAATTGCTTTTCGCTTGGGTAGAGGGGTGATGTCACTATTTACAAGAGGGCGAGAAAAATTAGCTGATTGCTCACATGTTCAGCGCGACGGAAACGGGCTGGAGTATACAACATTTGACTGCTTCCTAAATGCATCCATTTTTCCTCTTTTCAGGTTCCGAGTCACTATCCTGCTGGTTTCGCATCCTGCCCAAGCACAGTTATTTCCTAATTCCAGACATCGTCACCATCTACTGTCCACTGAAGATCACATGCTCCTAGTACGATAGTTATTCGTGATAAGCGGTAGAAGATACATCTCAGATGCAGTTTTTTGTGATGAGTGATAGAAAATACATGAAAGACGCCAAACGACGATCAGGAACTTTTCTCAGCCTAGGTGTTATGAGTACACCATACACGGACAAAACCACGATACCACGTTCTCAACTCAGAAGACGTCGAGAAGCCAGTTTTTCACATCGTGGCATGGAATTCAAGGCGTTGGATCTACCAGCACGTTTTCTTATTCAGGATACGTAGAACGAGCAAGATGCATACAATGGGCATTTCTCATCCTCCCTTAAATCCTGAACTTACAGCACATGTCGACTTTTGTGTATCATCTTTGCTAAAAACACTCCCACAACAGATGTACCGCGATGCGGCACTCATCCCTCATTGGGGCATGCTGAGATGAAAGCTACCGGATTGCTGCTTATCTGCAAGCTCAGCAACAAGAGGATACCAAATGAACTGGAAACGCGCCACAACCTCCCGTGCAGTTATACTACAAATGCTTTTTGGGAAGCCCATTTCTATCAACGATTAAACATTATTGTAGAAGCACTGCACAAGCCATTAGAATTAGCAGGTTTTTGCCGGAGGCTAACTTTCTACATCAGGGACTGGTCTGGTTCAGCGCGTTGGTGGGACTGCGCTGCCGTTTCTGGGCAAACCCGTCATTGCTTTTCGGCGGCAATATACTTTTGGCACAACTAAAAACCAGATAAGAGCTCTTGCCATGCCGTTTTTTTCGCCGACTTTAATAACACAGACCGATAGGGGATGCCACCCCTTGATGTTTCCATAGTAAGGAAAGATGGAGTGCCGCGAAATCTTTACAGGGAAAAGTTCTATACAAGATCTCGCGATAGGTGAAAGTTGTGCCGCTAGATTCGAAGCGAGCCCAGGGGCCTGATCAAAGCTAAAATTGTCCTGAAATTAGAATGTTTTCGAATTTACATGCTCATGTGCATTGAACCACGCGCTGTGGTGACACACCGCCGTTCTCAGAATTAGCTTATGAATAGGCCCGTAGAAGTTTTGGTGTGACTTTATGTGTGTAAGCACACGTGGATTATTTAGGGCTCTGTTGATGTGACGGTGTTGGCTCGCGGCACAAAAGACGCGGAATCATCGGTTGCTGACCGCCGCACGCCGCGGCAATGGATCGTCGTGCAGTGTTCATAAAGAAGCTGTCGCGTCTTAGAGACCACTAGTGTTAGGGGCACGTTTTTATGTCAAAACACGTGTAATGCATGCCTCAGAGCCTAGCGACAGTTATTACCCGATTGTACAGCCTGTCGGAGATCTAGCCCAAAACCCTTACGGGGAAGCAAACCCCTCCGTAAGCCTGCGTGGATTTGTATAGACTCATAAAAAGTTCAATAAAAACACTATGCGAAAGCTGATAATTTTCAACATGTAGAGGCGCAAAATCTCCGGACAGCCAAGTGATGAACGCCGTGTGGTGTTAGAGGGTGTGAATTCTGGGGGACGGGGAGTGGTGCCTCAAGGGTGCTGCTCTATATACCCAAAGATGAGACTCATGTCACCTTAAAACAGGTTGGCATTTAAACATAAAGCATGCATAATGAAAACAAATAATGGCTTGACAATTCTATCAAAATCAACAAGATTGCGGTTGGGTTTGTATGCAAGGTTTTAATTGTAAGTTAAATTATATTCAAATTGGGAGCCTTCATCTTTGAGTCTTTTGGTAGAATCTTTAAGGTAGCAGCTGATAAAGTTTATGATTCAAATTGCTTTGGCATTGGCAGCTTTGGATGTCTAAATGGGATTCCAAAAGCAAACAGTGCTCAACATGAGGGTAACAAATAATTGCTTCTTGAACGGAGACCAAATGTTTTGGTTTCAAAATGTTGTGCAGGCATGTCAGTCTCAAACATAACCACTAGAAAATGGATTAGTCAAGTACTATCCGCTTCCTTGAATTTCTTACTTCCATGTCACTGTTCCCTTCCAGACATTCAGGTCGTGTTTTCAGTTTACATTATCATCTTTTTCATTGCGATATTTCTGTCCTCGTTTGCTCACACAAACTCGAACGGGTACGTTGCAGAAGCATCCTGGCGCATTACAATGGTATCAACCCATGAGCATTTGTTTGATTGAGGTGGTAAGGAAAAATGTTATTCACAGGCCCTAAGAATTTATCTCCGTTGCTTGACGAGCGACCACAGCAGCGCATTAAGGTGGATGTTAGCATGGCCGCGGTAACGAATGGTAGAAAATGGGCATCTAACTGAAAATTGTTCTAAATTGCCCTGTTCCCTGTGCACCTGGTGTGTTAAAGACGTTTTAAGCATCCCTAAATAAGCACATATTTATTTGATTCACTAGTTCAGAGCAACAACGTCACACAAAGAATGGCTTCTGACTGAAAGTAGATCCCGTCAAACTATTATTATCGTAGATAGTTTAACTTACTCTCGTGATTCTCACCATGCGCAAGGTCCCGAGTGAACGGCTTGGAAAGTAGATCCCCTTTGAACTATTATTATCGTAGATAGTTTGACTTGCTCTCGTAATTATCACCATACGCGAAGTCCCAGAGTGAACAGCTTGGTGCCTCTAGCGCACAAAAACTTCGGTTGCTTGCTGCGGCCACCCGCTTCAGCTAACGTCAACATTCCAATATCCCACGGTTGTGGGCGATTACTTGAGATCGCTCAAGCATGTTGAGGCGAGCAACACTTATGAGAAGACTAAGGCCGAGAAAATTATAACAGTGGGTTATAATGAGGACTTGAGCATGCGTAAAATTTCTCGTTAGCGAGACCTGCTGAGCCTTGCCGATCCACATGTTCTAAATGGAGCGTGGTTTCCTTGGTACCAAACAATGAAAACAACATTTATCACATGGGCTCAAGGTCGCTGATTACGTCCACAAACAAGTCAACAACAGCAAACTATTATCACGATCACCATTACTATCAACTACCACGATCGCTTGCATCCAACACGTTTTCTCTGGAGCATTTTTATCAGTCATTGGTGCCAGAGCTCATTGGCGCCGACCAAGAATTCGTTCACCGCCATTCATAGGGACAAGGGCGCCATTCTGCGGAGGCACGCTTGGCCTTTGCCCCGTGAACTTGTGGAAATATCCTCAGCTTTAGGAGCCAATTATGTGACGCATGATGAAGCGTGGAGTGGGAGGATTAATTGCTCAACCGACGCTGTAGATTACAGACAATGGTTTTAAGCTCAGACCGGCGGACATTGCTACGAACATTGCTTGCTAAAAATTCACTGTTCACAGAACTGCGCTCATACTTCCGATGAAAAATTGATGAGTTTTGGCATATTTCCTCACTAGAATTCCTAAGCAACGACTACTTGAAATTGCAGAAGACAATGAGGCCCCAATGTTTGCGATAATCCCGGTTACCACGGCTGGATGTGGCAACATCCAGCCACACAGTTG